TATGTATATCTTGAGTTTTCTTATACATACATTTTGGTATATTCATTATCTGTTTTCTATTCCTACTAATGCTTGGACCTATAATAGCTCATCCTTGATATCCCTTGTTGCATTCATTCTATTAAGTATGTCTAAGCTGAAAATTAATTAAAATCTACTGAAAATCTAACCTGACATGTATTTTGTGCTAAACATGTTCTCTAATTCTTTGAAGGAGAGAGGTTTATTCAAGCTGTGTCTCCAAGGAAGTTCTTGAAATCAAGTACATCCTTTCTTTCATTGCTCTCAATTATTTGGAGTAACCGGGTACACTTTTTCTTTCATAAAGTATCTTACAATTCTATTCTCATGTTCCTAAATCTATATCAATAATTTCTGTTTAGTGTATGGGTTAGTTGGTTTGAAACATAACATTACTTCAACTTCTAAAACATTTCTCTTGTCGTAGCGCTTTATGATTGAGATTTAGACTCATTGACCTTTGAACATTTCCTTGTAAATTATCCTGCAAAAATTTGCATGAAGAAATCCAAGAATAGCATTTTCGCAAATGTTGCATTAAGATAGCTATATGATGCATTTCAATATAGCATTTATTTTTATTTGCCATGGTTGATCTTGTTTCTCAAATGAATGCTACCTTCTCCTTGGTTTATGACTGTTTTATTGAGCATAGTGATGTGTCTCTCTGGTGTTCAAAAAAGAAGAAAAGAAGATAGCTTGTAGAATTCTCTAGCACTTTCCTTATTTATGCCTTTGATATGGCTTGCTTTGTGATATACTTGGTTACTTCCTTTACTTATTTATCTAGCTTTTGCATATGCCATGAACTTTGCTCTAAATTATACTCTCCTTGGAAAGGATTAGAATTATTTACCTTACCACAGAGCCTTGGATCTAAATTAAAGTACCTTGCTGCTTCATTTTCAGAGTTTCTTATCTTGTGGTAACATTTAGGTTGGTTGTACAACTATCTCTTGATCTCATTTTTGTGCTCTATTCTCTCAATCCTTGCAAAACTCATTGAATCAAAATTTCAGAAGCAACCAACAAGCCATGCTAATATCTCTTCACTTTTCTAATACCATTTCAGTTCATCGATAATCTATTTTCTATTCCTATGGATGCTTGGACCTATAGTAGCTCATTCTTGATCTTGATATCCCTCGTTGCATTTATTCTATTAAAATCTGCTGAAAATCAGCACTTACATTATGCTGACATGTCTTTAGTGCTGCATATGTTCTCTAATTCTTTGGAGAGAGGGTTCATTCAAGTCCAAGGAAGTCCTTGAAACAAGGCACGCAATTTCTTTCATTGCTGTCAGTTATTTGGAGTAACTATGTACATTTTTTCTTCCATAAAGTTTCTAACAATTCAAATTATGTCTCACATTTCCAATGTGTATATTAATTATTTCAGTTTAGTATATGGTTTTATTGATTGGAAGCATTACTTCATGTTCTAAAACATTTCTATGGTCATAGCCCTCTAAGAATTAAATTTATACTCGTAATCTCTAAACATTTCTTTATAAATTGTCCTGCAAAAATATGTTGGAAGAAATCCAACCATAGCATTTTTGCAAATACTGCATTAAGATAGCTACATGATGCATTTCAATATAACATTTATTTTTATTCACC